CCCCCCCCCCCGCCATCAGAGGATAGGAATAAAGAACCAAAGGCAGGCAGGGCAGATGGAGAAGTGCTTTGGCCAAATCAGATATTGCCCTATCTGAACTTCACTGACTTCTGCTTGTCTCCTTAATAAGACTGACACAACCCACTATTCTGCCCAAACAAGCCAGACCTGTCATAATGCTGCAAGTGGCCATGAATTTCTGCACACTAGAAAACTCATCACCATCTTCATCCCCAACTCTGGTCCCCTCCAAGTCCTCTGGCCAAGTCTTGGAATGGCTCCTGGTGGCAGCAGGAGCTGCATCCGTGGCACTAACCTGGAGGGCGGGTCTCCTAGATCAAGACAGCCCAGACCCAATGGCGACAAATTCCCACTCTAGCCATGCCCTCCAAAGAAGCAAGGGAAGATGCGTGGACAGATCTGACTCTGTCTCATCCCTTTCCTCTTTCCTCCAGCTGTGTGACTGGACAAGGTGTGTGCCCCTCTCAAATGCTTAGCTGGGCATCCAACCGGAATGTGGCAAAAGGGCACAGCAGGTTCATGGCACCCACAGTCCACGTGTTTCCCCTGGACAAGACACTCACAGCTTCCCTCCTCCTACCGCTAAGACTGACAGTGGTTTGAAGCTGGAGGTCAGTAAATCTCAGACAGTCCAGGAGGCCGGGGTGGCAGCATAGCGCTCTTTCAGGAAGGTGACTGTGATTGTTGGGCTGAAACAGTAGGTACGGTATCTCTCGGACTATACGACCCCCTGGTCAAATTCCTTACTTTATCTGGCATTGAACAGGAGAAACACTCACACTGAGAGTGCTAATGGGGTGGCACAGGCAGATGGAGCCCTCCACACACCACAGCGACAGCCCCCAAGTGGACTGCACTCGCACTGGACTCAGGGCTTTGCGTGGGTCCTGAGGCCAGTCTCCCGCTCCCACCCGGGGCCCAATTTTAGGAGAGTACTCTCGTGGGCGCAACGAGCGCACGGAGACGTCCAGGGAGCAGGGGGATGGCTGAAGGTCGGGAGCGGCGCGCGCAGAGCCCCCAGCAGCAGCGAAGGAGCTAGAGGGCAGGTCTCCCCGCGCCGGGCTGCGGG